CCATTTTTTGATGGGGTTGGATGTTTTCTTCTTGTGGAGTTCAACCAGTAATTTGTATATCCTTGATATCAACCCCTTGTTGAATGGGTATTGGGCGAATATCCTTTCCCATTCTGTAGACTGTCTTTGTATTTTGGTTACTGTTTCTTTTGAGGTGCAGAAACTTTTTAGTTTAAAATAGTCCCATTTATCTATTTCTGTTTTCTCTTTCTCAGCCAGTGGCATGACATCTTTGAAGATACCGTTAGCTTCAATGTCATGGAGGGTTTTGCCAACTTTGTCTTCAATGTACCTTATGGATTGCGGTCTGATGTTGAGGTCTTTAATCCATTTTGATCTTACTTTTGTACATGGTGTTAGGCAGAGATCTGAGCCCATTTTTTTTTTTTTTGCATGTAGCTGTCCAGTTTTGCCAGCACCATTTGTTAAAGAGGCTTTCCTTGCTTCACTTGACATTTCTTGCTCCCTTATCAAAGATTAGATGATCATATGTTTGGGGGGAGATGTCAGTATATTCAACCCTGTTCATTGGTCTGCAGCTCTGCCTTTGTTCCAGTACCATGGCAACAGCGTTTTTTAAAGTGTTGTTTGTGAAAACTGCCCATGCTCCCTTCCTGTTTTTGCTTTGATGTTGTTTCGACTGTGTGATGGTTGGGCTGTGCACATGTCTGGCTGTGGCACTCACCAGGGGTCACATATCAGGTTTGGTCACAGTCCTCCCGTTGTTCATCAATCTGCTTGAGCGGGCCCAGTAACGTCTCCATTGGAGACTTTTTGTTGTTACTGTGTTTGGCATATCAGTACGTCACAGGTAGCTTGCCAGGCTCTGCCGTGCGGGCAAGATACTCTCGGTAGCTTGCCGGGCTCTCCGAGAGGGGCGGAGGAATCAAACTTGGGTCGGCCATGTTGGCCGCGTGCAAGGCAAATGCCCTACCCGCTGTGCTATCGCTCTGGCCCTATCAGGTTGTGGTGCTAAAAAATTTGAACCTGGTGCTCGCCAGTGTTTTTTCTCCTTTAGCATGTTTGCCAGGGACTGCACTCTCAGCTGAAGCACACAGGTTTGTTGTGGTGGTGCTTGGTGTGGATTGTGGCAGTGCTCACACACGCACATGCTCACGAGGGGTCACACTTTCCTGGCTGTGGAGCTTGCACTTCTGTTTTGTTGAGGTGCTCAGTGGAGATCGCACCCATTTTTGTGATGCTTTTTATTTTTTATTTTTTGCTTTTTGGGTCACACACAGCGATACTCAGGGGCAACTCCTGGCTTTGCACTCAGGAATTACTCCTGGTGGTGCTTGGGAATGCTGGGGATTGAACCTGGGTCAGCCGCATGCAAGGCAAATGCCCTATATGCTGTGCTATTGCTCCGACTCCTATTTTTATTTTTTTATTAAATCACCTTGAGATACACAGTTACAAAGTTGTCCATGGTTGGGTTTCAGTAATACAATGTTCCATCACCCATTCCTACATCAGTGTACATTTCCCACCACCAATATCCCCAATTTCCCTCCTTCCACCTCTCTCTCTCTCTCTCTCTCTCTCTCTCTCTCTCTCTCTCTCATCATTAAGGTTTGTGATACAGGCATTGTAAGGTTATCATATATATCCATTTCCCTACTTTCAGCCCTCAGTTTTTATCCAGAATGATCATTTCCAACTGTCATTGTCAGAGAGATGCTTTCACAGACGTGGCTGTAGCACGGCTGAGAATGTCCGTGTCACCAGGGATCAGGACCAAAGACAGAAAACCCAAGGCATACAGGGCATTGGGGATTTGAACTTGTCATAATGCCTTGGCAAGGCATGCACCTTAAGTTCTAGTTTCTTCAACTCTGGCTGCAATTCACATGGGGTGGTGTTAACTGAATATTATGGGGGTTGCAAAAAGTGTTTTAAATTTATGATTTATTATTAGTCAATATTTGATTTCTGTACCTACTTTATATACCAGAGTAACATAAAAATCTTTTGGGATATGGTGCTGGAGCAATAGCACAGCAGGTAGAGTGCTTGCTTTGTGTGCAGCCCACCCAGGTTAGATCCCCAGCACTCTATAGGGTCCCCTGAGCCCTGCCAGGAGTGATCCCTGATCACAGAGCCAGGAATAAGACCTGATCACTACCAGGTATGATCCAAAACCAAACACCTCTCCACTTCCAAAGAATGCCCACCTGAAACCCCTCCCCCCCAAAAAAAATATATATCTTAGGATAAAAAAGGTTCTGAGTAGAAAAAAAGTTTAAGAAGGCCTGCTCTACGCCATAGTACTTTTCCTTTGGTAGGCAGGATAGGTTTTTGAGGGGAAAGGAGAAGGAATCATTGCATACATTAAAAAAATTTTTTCTGGGCCGGAGTGATAGTACAGAGGGTAGGCATTTACCTTGCGCGCAGCCAACCTGAGCTCCATCCCCGGCATCCCATACAGTCCCTTAAGCACCCCCAGGAGTAAAGGAGTAATTTCTGAGTGCAGAGCCAGGAGTAACCCCTAAGCATCACTGAGTGGCTGAGTGTGACCCAAAAAAGCAAAAAAAAAAAAATCTGATTTGTTTTGGAGCCACACGCAGCAGTGCTCAGGGCTTCCTCCTGGCTCTGTGTTCAAGGATGACTTCTGCTGAGGCTTAAGGGATTAAATGGGATGTTGAGGATCAAATCTGGGTCAGCTGCATGCATGGCAAGCGCCCTTTCCGGCTGTATCATCACTCCAGCCCCCAATGTATACTTTTCAAAGCACAACTCACCACCCTTTACAATTAAGCAATTAAGAATCATTAATCAGGAAGTCACTGGGAGCAAGCTGGAACCATCCTAGGGAAGTCCTGTCCAGTCACTAACAAAGAACATCCATTTCAGTGACCGCAAGACAGGAAATAATGTGCTTTTCGACTCCAGCTCCAGGTGCACGCTATTAGCAAGACAGAGCTCACCTACCCCAAGTCATCTACCTGATAAAGGAAGGTGGATGGTTTGTGGACACCACGGAAAAGCCCAGGGGTGCAGGAAGTTGTTGGTTTGTGAGTTTAGTGGTTCTCTTCCCTGTGCTGAGTCATCTCCTGGTGGGGCACCAGGGGACCACACCTGCCTGTGTCTTTCAGACACACGGAAAACCCCAGCAGCTGGGATCCCTGGCTGGTTTTAACCTTGGGTAATCCCTCTTTACTGAGACTATTGGCCCTTGACATTTCCAACTGCAAGATCTTTATGTCTCTTTGGTCTCCTCAAGGGAAAAGCTAAATACATGAAGGGAATTTCTGACTCCACAAATTCAATATGGTTGCATAATCCTACACAAAGCTTTTCTGCCAAAGTGGAGTGGGAGGTATGGTTAATTTAGCAATAATAATAGCTTACGTGTAGTGATCACCTACTGTGTCAGGTATTATGTTCTTTTTGCAGTAACGGGTAGTACAACATATGATAAATGAGAAATTCAGAGAGGTTAATATTCCCGAGGTTCCTTTCTAGCTACAACATTTAGCCTAAAGTAAAGGAAACCAACACTTATTTGGCACAATATTTTCATGAAGTCAGAATGTCACCCTGAAAATGCCCTTAGAGACAAATAAGTGCAATGATGTTACAGATGGTTTTATAGATAGAGAAATTGAACTGGAGAGGTGTTAGGATGTATCTGTGCCCGTCCCATGGAAGATTCTGAATCCACCTCCTTTGCTTGGGCCACAACGGGGCTGTGCTCAGACATGACTCCTGGTGGCAGTGTGGAGATTTTTAACCAGGATGAGGGCTAAGCTAGCCAAACATAAAGCAAGTACTTCCTGTGTGTGTGTGTGTGTGTGTGTGTGTGTGTGTGTGTGTGTGTGTGTGTGTCCTGACTGTGCTAGGGTGGTCACTTCTGATGGGACTCACCATATGTGGTGCCAGGGATCTAACCCAGGTGCGCTGTGTGCAAGACAAGAGCCCTACTATCCGCTGTACCATCTCTCTGGCTTCCTGAACTCCACTTTTTACTTACCCTACAACAACCCAGAAACCCCTCTACCAAGTTTTTCTTTTTTTTCCCTTTTGCTTTTTGGGTCACACCCGGCGATGCACAGGGGGTTACTCCAGGTTCATGCACTCAGGTGTTATTCCTGGCGGTGCTCAGGGGACCATATGGGCTGGTACCATATGAGATGCTGGGAAACGAACCCGGGTTGGCCAGGTGCAAGGCAAAAACGCCCTACCTGCTGTGCTATCACTCCAGCCCAGTTTTTCTTCACAGTTGCTTGGCTTCTCAAACTTTCTCTTTAAGACTACTCCCTTAGGGCCTGGTTGCCCTTTTTTTTAAGTGGGTCCCACCCAGTGATGCTGGGAGTAAGCAAAGTGGGAACCCGCAGGTGCTGATGGAGGCAGAGGGAGACAGAGAGAGACGCTAGGCAGAGAATGGCCCATTTATTTATCAATTAAGGAGAAATTCGTGTAACCGAATTGATTTTAGACTTCAAGTCAAGGCAAAGCCCTGGTGAGGCACAGGATTCGGCCCCAACTCCTAGCGTTAGAGGCCTGGGAAAACCAGGAATTCTCGCCTCGGCCGGTTTAGCACAAAGCGTCTCGCCCTCACCCAAGGCGACCACACGCACACGACTGGGGAGGGGGCGGGGAAGCCCGGGCTGCCCTCAACAAACATGGCGGCGGCGCGTGACGTCACGTCCGCCCGCTCGCGGGCACTCCGTCACCCCTTTGAGGACGGCGGTCCTCCAGGCCGGCCGGAGGAGCGGCGCATGCGCGGTGGGCGGGGCCCGCCCCCCGGCGTCGGAGGCGGAGGGGCGGGGAGCGCCGGAGCCCGCAGACGCCGAGCTGCGGCGGCCGCGGCGGGATGGTCTAGCCGGGCTCGCGAGCCGGCGGCAGGGCGTGGGCGGGGGCGAGGCGGCCGCGAGGGCAGGCGCCGCCTGACGGGCTCGGGTGCCGCGGCGGCACGCTGAGGGGGCGTCGCCGCCGCGGGCGCCCCCCCTCCTCTCACACACACATACACACACACACACCACACACACACAACTCTCCCGGGGCGCCGCGGCGGGAGGCCGCGCCCGCCATGGCGGCCCGGGCGGTGCTGGACGAATTCACGGCGCCCGCCGAGAAGGCGGCGCTGCTGGAGCGGAGCCGCGGCCGCATCGAGGGCCTGTTCGGAGTGAGCCTGGCCGTGCTCGGCGCGCTGGGCGCCGAGGAGCCGCTGCCCGCGCGCATCTGGCTGCAGCTGCGCGGGGCGCAGGAGGCGGTGCACAGCGCCAAGGTGAGTGGGGCCGCGGCTGCCCGCACCGCGGCCGCTGTTGCTGCTGCTGCGACTTCCCGAAGGGCCTCCCCGCCCCCCTTTTCCTCTCTGCGCCCGCCGTGCTGGTGATGATGATGATGATGATGGTGACGGTGGTGGTGGTGGTGATGATGGGGGGGGGGCGTAGTCCTCCCTCGGCCGCTGCAGCCATGTGACCTGAGGCAGGCGCGGGCCGCTCCCCGGGCGCCTCAGTTTCCCCGCGTGTGAGGCGGGGCGAGCGAGCGCGGGGCACGGCGAGCGGCTCCTGTTGTCCTTGTCGCAGGCTCCGCGCGCGCGCGCGCCCGCCCGCCGGCCTGCCCCCCCCGCCGGCCTGCCACGAGCGACCCGCGCTCTGGAGCGTCTCGGAGCGTCGGCCGCAGCCAGCGCAGCCCGAGCATCCGAGAGAGCCAGGGCCGGTTTCCTACATTGTTTCTCCTCTCCTCCAACCCCCGGCCCCACCCCCCCAGGAAGAAGACCCCCCCCCCCCCGTAGCCCGGGGTGCACGAGTAGTCGCTTGTGTTGCCGGCGGGCCTCAGGGCCTGAGGAAGGAAGGCTTCATCCACCCTGAACAATTTCTGTGGGCTTGACTTTTTTTTTTTTTTTTTTTTTTTTTGCTGCTTTCGCGCTGCTTTTTCAGCTAACTGCTGGGGGTGGGGTGGGGGTGGTTGGAGGGGGGAGAAACTGAAACTGCAAAGACAGTGATTCACCTTCCGACTCCCGCGTTTCGAAGCAATACCTAACCCGACATCTTCTGCTCACCCGCCCTCAGCCCCAAGCCAGAAAACAATAAAGTGCATCCTCGAGCCCAAGTGCCCCTTTTTCCTCAGGTTCTCCCCGCGCCTGGGAGCCAGGGTTCCGAGCCCAGGGTCTTTGTTCTTGATACCTGCCTCCCCAAGTGATGTACCATCTCTGCCTGAGATCGTTTCCGGGTCTCCTCCTCCTCCTCTTCCTCCTCCCTCCAGAGAGCATTCTGTTCTTGCCCTTGAAGAGCCTGGTTGAAGCCGTAATTCCTAACTTGGATCATTTTAGAAAGAACGAAAGAAGAAAGCCCGCCTGCTTGCTTTTAAAACGTTTTCTAGAGGATTTAGGGTTGTGGCTTTTGTTGTTGTTTGTTTGTTTCTGGTCTACACCTGGTGATGCTCAGGGAGTTATAACTCCTGGCTCTGCGCTCAGGTATGGGATGCCAGGGATCGAAGCCGGGTCGGCACGAGTCTGGAAACGAGGTCTTCTCTGTAACTTAACTTAAAATGAGGTAAAGGTTGAATCACGTTTGCATTCCTGTTCTTAGTTTCTCAAACCATGGTGCGATTTCCACCGTCCCCATTCTCATTCCTGTGTTGTTTCTTGTTAAAGCAGTGTATCTTTCCACTACACCTTGTTTAGGAAGTTGGACAAGACTAAGGCCTACTATATCTACCAGAAATGATATGCATTTATCCCTGTTAAAACCTTTTTAGTGGTGTGTGGCCCTCCTTGGTGCAATTTGTTTTTTGTATTGGGGACACATCTGCTTCGGGATCCCTTGCAAGTCTCGAGGACCATATATGGTGCTGAAGATCCAAAGTGAAGTGGACAGAAAGCACCTTACCAGATGTACTGTAGTTCCATGCCCCCCAAAGCCCCCCTACAGTTTGTGTTAGACTAGTCCTTCCAGGAAATGTTCAAGTCTCCTACCCAAGTGAGACTTAGTTGGTCTTTTTGTCTTGAGCTCATTTAACCTAAGCCCTTCTGATTATAAATTACGAATGTAACCCTACATAAATTATTTCCCAGTCTGTACCTTAGTATCTCTCAGCTTAGGCTTTTTTAAAAAAAATTAATTATTTTTATGGTGGTGGTGGCATTGTTTGGGTGACACTCCAGTGTTCCTGCTCAGGACTTCTGACAGTGCTCAAGAATCACTACTGGTGGGCACAGGGGATCATATTGAGTGCTGGGGATTGAATCCACTTCTACCTGCCTACAGTGTTCTCACCCCCCCCCCCCCCCCCCCCAAGTCTTGAATCATTTGTCTGCTCCCAGTTTAGGTCACTCATGAAAGTCAATTCCTTTGCTCAACAACAGAAAAACCCTTTTCTTTCCAGCCAGACCCTCCCAACCTTAGTTATCTTGCTTGTTCCTGCCTCACAGATTAGCATACGCTAATTGGAAAAGGTGTGTCTTACAGTATTTTGGTAGTTTGTGTCATCTGTCATTTATCTCTTGTGATATGTGTTACTCACAACTCAATCTTCCTACATGTAAGAAATCCCTATTTTCCCCCTTCCTTGAGACTCAGAGGTTTGATTGCACACTTAAGGGAGTTTTCTTAATTCATTTTGACATTTGATTTTGTATTCAGTTAGATATGAGGAAGAGAAAATAAAAAACTTTCTTTAAAAAGTTGGGAGATGATGATACAGGGCCTAACCCAAGGCGTTTGCCTTGTTTGTAGCTGACCCCAGTTTGATCCCCTGAGCACTACTAGGCAAGACACTTCTATCCACATTTTATTTATTTATTTATTTCGGCCACACTCATGAGTGCACGGGGGTTACTCCTCACTCTGCACTCAGGAATCACTCCTGGCAGTGCTTGGGGACCTTATGAGATGCCAGAGATGAACCACTGGTCGGCCACCTGCAAGACAAGTGCCTGAGGGGCTGAAGCTATAGTATTGCTGATATTTTGTTTGTCTTGCACAAGACCAACCCTCTTCCATCCCAGGCATCCCATATGGTCTCCCATCACTGTCAGGAGTAACCCCTGAGCATCATTGGGTGTGACCCAGAAAAGAAAAAGAAAAGTGCCCTACTCACTGTACTATTGCTCCAGCATCGGCCACCTTCCCCCTTTTAAAATTGACTGGGGGGCTTCAGAGATAGCTCCAAGAGCTAGGTGCATGATCTCCCTGTTGGAGGCTCAGGTTCAGTCCTTGGCTCTGCATGGCCTCATGAGTGCTACTGGGAACAACCCTGATTCACAGTTTGTTGTTTTGGGGCCGCATCTGGCTGTGCTTAGGAATTATTTCTGGCAGTGCTCTGGGATCCTCCTTTGTTACATGCATGGCAAACACTTTGCTCACTATACTGTCTCTCCCCAGGCCCCTGGTTCTATAATTTTAAGTTGAAATATAGAGGAGAATGTTTGGCTGAAGTAAGACTTAGAGCAAAAAAATTTCAAGCAGTTTGTGGAGCATCTGATTAGAATAAGATGGCTCAAGTGTTCTGAGTCCCCACCTGATGGTTTGCTTTTTGTCCCGCTTTATAATGTTAATTCATTGCCCTTCAGCAAATACTGCTCTGTGATGGTTTTCTTGTTCAATTTCCTTTGACTTGTGAGACATGAGATGGGACTTTTAGTAGTAAAGTCAAGGGAGGTTCAAAGTCCACATCTTTAGGACTAGTGCTCCCTTTTGTTAAAGGGGAATTTGAATGTAGCAGCATCTGAGCTGGGCTTTGAAGAGCCCAGAAGACTCTGGGAGGAAACTTGTGAAAGAGACCTAGGCTCCAGAAAAAAATATGGAATGTCTATGTAGAAGAATCTGCACCCCCATGAAAAATGCCAGGACAGCACCTTGTTGAGGATGGAGTCAAGATTTTGAGAAGGGAAGAATTTGCCTGTGGTTTTTTTTTTTGGGGGGGGGGGGTCACACCCTGTGGTGCTCAGGGGTTATTCTTGCCTCTGCACTCAGAAATTACTCCTGGCTCAAACCGGGGTTGGCCTCGTGCAAGGCAAATGCCCTATCTGCTCTACTATTGCTCCAGCCCCAGGATTTGCCTGTTTACAAGCTAGATTCAACTGGAAGCAAGGGAACATTGTTTCAAGTTAAAACTGACTGTAATAGGTGATAAGATTTTCTCTGGGACTTGGTAACTTACATGGGTTAAGCCTCATAGCATGAAGGATGGTGACTGTTTTTGATCTATTTGTTGATGGGGATAGGTAGCTGACCTTTAAAGTAGACTTGTGTCAGGAAGTATACTTGGCTATCGCCTCTTAACCTCAGCGAACCCGCAGCCTAGCAGAGACAGACCTGGAGCAGAATGGTGTCATACATTCAGCAGTTGAAATTTGTGCAGAGTTATTGCCCAGACTAGCAGAGACAGACCTGGAGTAGAATGGTGTCATACATTCAGCAGTTGAAATTTGTGCAGAGTTACTGCCCAGAGTCTGGCAAACTCCCCGTGGCGTACCCATTATGCCAAATACCAGTAACAATGATGGGTCTCATTCTCCTAAAGAGCCTTGAATATAGCACTTTCTTAAAAATCTTAGGGCTAGGATGAAGGAGACATTACTGGGGCCTGCTCGAGGCAATCGACGAATAATAGGGTGGTGGTGATTCTGGTGAAAGCTTGAGGGCTGGATTTCAGAGAGTAAATGGAGATACTGTGTGCTGTCATATATTAAAACAATTTGGGGGGGGGGACACCTGACTATTCACTTAAAGATCACTCCTGGAGACCCAGGGAACCATCTGGGCTACTGGGAATCGAACTGGGTTGGCTGTGTGCAAGGCTGGCACCCTAACTGCTCTACTATATCACTCAGGCCTCCTGAGTATTTATCTTTGTTTGGAGAGTTTTTGTTTTTTAGCCCATACCCCAGCAGTGCTCAAGGGTTACTCTTGGCTCTCCAAGGATCATATGGGATATGGGAAATCGAACCTGGGTGGGCACTTGCCAGCTATGGCATCTTTCCAGCCCCTATATGCTGTTATATTTACAAAGAACTCAAAGATACAGTGCAACCGTGGTGGGAAGAACTGAGGTTGTTTATCTCAGAGCCCTGGAAAATGGTGAAAGTTAGAAATTGCAGGATATTAAAAAAGTGTAAATAATACCCAAAGTCAGTAGAAACAAGGACCAGGAGGTCTGGTTCATGGTAGGAAACTTGCTACAAAAGGAGGGGAGAAGGAGTGTATTTGGGATTGAGAAGGGACCACTGTGACAGTGATAGTTGGAAATGATCGCTCTGGACAAAAACTGAGTGCTGAAAGG